CCCACGGAATTGATATTGCCAAGGAGAACGGTGAAATGCTCACCCTGCACCTTTCACCAGTCTCTGCAGAGGCCTTCTCCCCCCAGCCAAGCCAATGCCATGGCAGTGACCCCTATGGAGGTTATTAGCCAGAGTGTGTGATAGTCCTAGAGCGATGGAGCAATGGCACCCCCAGGCACTGATATGGAGGGTGGGGATAGGAGCCACATGGCTTCCCAGGAACCAACCTCAATGCTCACCTTGGCATCAAGGCATCCCTTCACGGACTTCTTTGTGGATGATGTAATGTCCTGGAGACAGCCCCTCCAAGTTCCTAGTCTGGACTATAGAACAGCTGAAACGACCAGAGACACCAACCCAGGTTTTACACCGACCCCAGTGCATGCTGGGTCAGGGCTCTGGAAGTGTAGCCCATGCTTTTTAGATATCCAGGCAGTTCAGACACGCTCAGTCAAAATCACAGTTTATCCACCTCACTCTTGGTTCTCGGTGCCACGATTTCATGCGCTCTTCCATTGATAGCCTGGGCCGTAACAGATAGCTGGTGCCTTGTGCACACAGTCCTCATTCCCAGGAGGGCTCGGCACTGAAGATGGATCATCTCAGTGTTCCATTTGGCACCACTGTCTCCTGAGTCATGTGTCCAGGGCCACACCCCGTTCCGTTTGGAAAATAGCATCTCCACCATTGCCTTTTCTACGGCACATGGTAAAGTGCCATTTCTGTAGCTGCTTTGCAGTCACTGCTCGGGCTCCAGTGCTGCCACCTGCCACCACTTCTCAGACCGCCGGCTCTCTCCTATGCCTGACTCAGCAATGCCAGCACTTAAACCAATACACCTGATGCCAAATGCTCCTTCCGCCGTGCACCTCCACGTTCTTGGACTGAGCAGAATGGGCGACGTTTGCCCGGAATACCTGTAGCAAAGGCATCTCCCATCATGCCCACTGGAAGCCCAGTGGAAGAGTAAATAGAGCAATCTGTCAAGTAGTTAGAGGGGTGGTGATGACTGTGTAGCCCAGCAAGGAGTTTGCACCATGTGCTAGGGAGCCCCCGTAACTCAGCAGCCCAGGTGAGCACACTGCCGTGTTGAGTGAGTGGTCACAACTGCCTTCGACTTCCTTTGGCTTCACTGCCAGAGTCTCTCTGCATGGCAAGCTGCTGCTGCTGCGGCTGTGGACAGTACAGGCTGCATCGGCTGGTTCCCTTTCCCTCTGCCACATTAATAACCTGATGGTGACTTCGCTGAGCAGGGAAGGTCTGAATGCGTCCCCGGTGTGTCCTGAATGCCAAAATGGCTCTTCTCTAGAAAGGGGTGGGGAGGATATATGGAGTTGTCTCTGACCCCCCTGGTGGTCATTAGCTCAATAGCAGGCCCAGGCAGGGCCCCAGTCTGACAGGACTCCTGATGGATCATACAAGTTAGGGAAAATGTGGAACAGGAGTATCAAGAAACAGGGGTTATGTTCCAAGGGTCAAACCAATATGCAATGGTAAGTTCTCTTTCTGTTCCTAGCAATCCGCTTCTTTCCCTCTCCATTATACAGCAGCCCTCCGGGGGTTTTGTATCCATGGGACCAGTTCTGCCCTCGGTTACATGGCTGCAGCTTGCGCCCATGTACATTGATAGGAGAGCTGAGCTGCATTGCTGTGCCTAGTACCAATGCTAGAGTCATTTGGATTCTGTAGTATTATTAGTGCTCTCTGCTGTAGCTCACCAGGATCCTAGGTCACTCAGCAACTCCTGGCACATAGCAGATTTTATTTACAACTGGCCGGCCTGGAGTCTCTTTCTAAAATGTCTGGAGGCTCTTTATCTGCGGTGTGTTCAACTTCTCTGGAATGTGTTTGCAGATAGAAACCCTCTCTTTAAAATGTGCTCATGTTTCAGTATGAGCTGTGCCATCTCCATGCTGGACACCTCTCCGGTGTGTACACAAAGACACTGTGTTTACACATCCCATACGGAGGCATGCAGGCTGCAGACCAATCGATGTCTCCATGCATGTGGGTGTGTATATGTCCATGGTATACGTGTGCACTCTCTCTAAGTTAGGGGTGCCAGTTTTCTCTCTAGCATGCTGGGATTGTTCTCCTGGTTCCATCCTCAGAAGAACTTCTGCCCGGTTGGGGAATGTCCTGGTCCAACGACAGGGGTCTGAAGAGATGTCACACCAAATTGCGGTACATGCTGGCAACCCTAAACCATGTATGTGTACATGCAGACTAACATGCCTGCATCGGGGACTGCCTTGCTCCTAACCAAAGTATCTTCCACAATCTGGCATTATAAGAGGGGAAACAAGTAACCATAGCCCAATGGAAGGGGTATGGGACATTGCATTTATAACTGTTCCTGCAGTTCAACTGAACAGACCCTAGTTATGGCTTGTTACAGACAATTCAGCCGACTCATTCGCTCTGTAGGAGAAAGCAATTCCTTAGTGTGAAGTTGTTACTATTCAATGGGGCTCCCAGCTGGCCCTCACTGGACCTGCTGCTGGAGCCGAATTCCGGTATCCTGGGGGCACAGAAGGTATCTCAGAAGGATGTCAGTGAAGGAGGAAACCTGTCCTTGGGCCACTCCCAAAAGACTGGTCCTTGCGTCCAATCCAGGTCCACAGTCTTGGAGACCAGCGAATGGGATTTTAATCTAAGACCAGTCATTATAAATCTCTTAGTGCATGCGCCCTCTATTCCTGCAGGTCATTCATTGTGTCATTCTTCCTGGAGTGTTTGCATTGCTCATTGGTTCTGCTCTCTGTCTCAGAGAAAGCTGAACTGACCATCAGCTCTCTCGCTCTCTCTGTGGGTCCTACCAGACCAATCACCTCCTTTCCTTCCTTCTACTCATGTTGCCTTTTCTCTCTCCCCCTGCCCTCTCCCTGCTAACAGCTTACCACGGACGTACCCTGGGCTCCTCAGCCACAGGTTGGTATTGCTGCCTGCCATTTGCATGCTACTAGCAGCCAGATAACCTCTTCACTGCCTCTCAATTGTCATTGGTCAAAGGCACTGAAAATCCCAGCATTTTTCCTCTTTCCAGACAGCAACTAGCCAGAACAATACTCCCAGTGCCTGCTGGGCACTAGTCACAGCAATACTCCCAGTGCCCCTGTGCACTAGCCACAGCCACACGCCCAGTGCCCCTGTGCACTAGCCACAGCCACACACCCAGTGCCCTCCATGCACTAGCCACAGCCACACACCTAGTGCCCCTGTGCACTAGCCAGATCCACATGCCCAGGGCCCCCTGGGCACTAGCCACAGCCATACTCCCAGGGCCCCCTGTGCACTAGCCATAGCCACACGCCCAGTGCCCCCCTGCACTAGCCACAGCTACACGCCCAGTGCCCCCCTGCACTAGCCACAGCCATACCCCCAGGGCCCCTGTGCACTACCAAGAGAAATACGCCCAGTCCCACCGTTCACTAGCCACAGCCTTTCGCCCAGTGTCCCTGTGCACTAGCCAGTGCTAGTTATATACACAGTTGTCTTTATTATTTTGCAGTGGCTGGCTTTGTGCAGCAGGCCACACATTCATGGCATCCTCAAATAAACATCTTCATAAAATGGACACTGTAGTCTCCAGGTACATCGTCACTGCAAGTGAAGGCTCGATTGCAGCATGGGTAGGCATTTCTGCACTGGGGTCAATATAACTAGAATGGGTAACAACTACCACTCCATACCCAAGGTCCACAGTTGGCTTGTACTCAGGCACTAGCCCAATGACTAGCCTGGGCCACCACGTCGTCACTGCTGTTGGTACCTGTGCTAGGTTAACGCTAGCATACCCATACTACATACATAGGCGCCGACTTCTGCTCGTGCCGGTGGGTGCTCGACCCCCCTCTGCCCCCGGCCCCGCCCTGACTCCACCCCTGCCTGGAGCACTCACGGAGTCGGTGCCTATGCTACAATCACAGCACCGCTTTGCAGCAAAGGCATAGCCTGTGCGACAAGAGAATCGGTCCCGGTCAGTCACAGATGTCGGCAGTCCCCCACCTTGCCCAGGCCTGCAGAGTGAACATTGCAAGGCTGCCCGTTTGGATGAAATCTGAGGGTGCAGCAGTGCGAGTGACGGAGGCTACAATTCCACCCCCTTTGATGGGGACGGGTGGGTATTGTCCCCTCCAGTGCCCAGCAGCACCTTCCCAGGAACACAGCGTGCCCTTGGCCCCTTCAGGAGGCAGAACCGGCTCTAGCCCTAATGTATTCTACTTAGAATGGTGTTGCCAAGGTACCTGTGTCACTCCCATGAGGACCATATTTGGGTGATGGGAATTAAATTGAAATAGGGCCCCTCCAGGATGGTGCCCCGGAGAAAGGTAAAGGGCGTGGCTACCCAGTACAGCATGCTCCCAGTTGGGTTGGCAGGAAATCCTGGTGCTTGAAGGTTCCTGAGTCTCTCCCAGCCGGTCAGCCATACAGGTACAGGTGAGAGAGCCATACAGGTAGCAGCAGTGGTGGCTGGGTTGGTGCCATTGGCAAGGTCACAGCCACATGATCAGCCAGCAAAATGTTAAAAAATTGCTGCCGTTCCTTTAAGCCTGTCCCTCGCAACACACCCAAAGCACGGGGGGCTGCTGCTGGAAGAGCAGCCGTCCTTCCAGAGTCACAAGGACATCATAGCACCAGTGTGCTGTGCACCTCAACCCCCCCTTACACTAATATACCTGCCAGACACACTCTGGCTTTCCAATTGAATTTTATTTAACCCTCTGGAGACTGGGGAGATAGCTGTATACATATGCAGATAGATAGAGTTACCTATAGCTACATGTATTGATCTATAAACACAGCCCCTCTATATATATTACAGAGCCCCTAGATCTGTAAACATACACATTTATACAGATGGTGTGTCTATATATATAGATACACCATCTGTATACATGTGTATGTTTACATATCTAGATCTATAAACATATATGTATAAATTATATATATATAACACAAATGTGTGTATGTATGCATATATAGTGCATATAGCTTTAGATATATAGCTGGAGAGCTGTAGCCAGAAAGGCCCTGAGAGGGCAGACATTGCCCCTAGGGAGAGAGCCCTAGGGCACCGCTCTATACCAGAGCAGGGACAGCTTATGAGAAAGGATACATAGGGCCCTGAGAGAGGCTCTTGTTGGATTTGTACCCTAAAGTGTTTGCTTTGTTTTTATTTCACATACTGACAGTGTGTGACTCAACCAGAGGGCTGAGTCACCAGGCCCCACCACAAACCGAACGAGAGAGAGAGAGAGAACAGGCACATGCACTGAGACAGGGGTCACTTGCAAGAGGTGAGTGCACCCCATTACAGTCAGTCTGTGTTCTTTGCTGTGCTGTTACCCCCACTCCTCGGGTTGTAATGTATGTTTTGGAGACAGTCACTTTTTGAACTCAAATACTGAACAAAGCAATTTTTAGAGGGGTAGCCGTGTTAGTCTGAATCTGTAAAAAGCAACAGAGGGTCCTGTGGCACCTTTGAGACTAACAGAAGTACTGGGAGCATAAGCGTTCGTGGGTCAGAACCTCACTTCTTCAGATGCAAGACAGTGAGGTTCTGACCCACGAACGCTTA